ATTTTTTTCTTTAAGACTGAAAATCCTGGGGCGCCTGGGTGGCGCAGTCGGTTAAGGGTCCGACTTCAGCCAGGTCACGATCTCGCGGTCCGTGAGTTCGAGCCCCGCGTCAGGCTCTGGGCTGATGGCTCAGAGCCTGGAGCCTGTTTCCCATTCTGTGTCTCCCTCTCTCTCTGCCCCTCCCCCGTTCATGCTCTGTCTCTCTCTGTCCCAAAAATAAATAAAATGTTGAAAAAAAAAAAAAAAGACTGAAAATCCTAGGGAATAAAGAACTTGTAATTGCAAATAATTGGCTTTTAAAAATCTGCCCATTTCCCCCTCTATGTGTGTACCCTGGGGAGGGAATGTGCCCTGGATTTTTTATTTAAACAATTTGACAGCTTTAACTTCTCACTTTGCCTTTGCCATGTAGTATAGCCTTTGTTTGTTAAGAGTTAACCACCACTCTTGGGGCGCCTGGGTGGTTCAGTCGGTTAAGCGTCTGACTTCAGCTTAGGTCGTGATCTCACAGCTCATGAGTTCAAGCCCCACATCGGGCTCTGCACCGACAGCTCAGAGCCTGGCACCTGCTTTGGATTCTGTGTCTCCCTCCCTCTGCACCTCCCCCACTCACGCTCAGTCTCTGTCTCTCAAAATATAAAAATTTTTTAAAAAGGTAACCACTCTTACCCTATGTCTGCATTTCTGTGTGACAGACATGAGACCTACTGCCATAGTTGAGGGGGTCCCTGACAAGTCAAGGACTATCACTGTACACTTGCCTGGCACCTTGAGTGAGGCAAGCACATACCTTAGCTTCTTTTGATATTCACAAGGAGGGTGAACAGATAGAAGAGGACCCTGGGACAAAGAGGTTAACCCGTTAAGAGACTGGTCTGTAGTCAGAGTCAAGGAGTAGGTACAACTTGGGGCTCAAATTCAGATCTTCAACTTCTAAGTCCAGTGATGTTCCTATTGTAACACGTTTTGTATCATCTTAGTATGGCCGCGTTGTGTTTCTTCCTTTGCCTTTGTTATTTTGAACAGCTACACCGGTACTTCCAGGGGGATTTCTCTACATGTTTGGAAATTTGGGCTGTAAGAAGTTATTTATGTCACCAGCTTTCCCAGCTTCCCATTAAACTAGTATGTTCTAGACAGTAAGGCACTATATAAATACAAGGCATCATTTAGTCTGATGAATCAAAAATGAATGAATGGGCAAACACAGTTGTCTACCTTCTGTCTCCTCTGGCCTGGATTCATTCAGGTACGCGGAGGAATAACTGGCCATTTTCCCGCTGCCCAGACTTAGAGACCGCACAAAGGGTCAGGGGCTTCCATCCCCGCCTCGGCTGCCCCCACTGTGCTTCTTGAATCTCAATACTGGGGCCAGGAGAGAAGCAAGTACCTATCATCGTAGGAGGAGATCCTCTTGCCATCCATGACTCGGGAGGGAGTGAGAGAGAGCAGGCTGAGGGAGTATAGCTTTTGCAGGAAGTGGCCCTCTAGAGAAACAGAGGAGCACAATGGGGTTATCCTCAAGTTGAAGCGGGGCCTATCCCGGGTTACAAAACATCGTGCCCAACTCACCTCTGACCTTGGCATCCTTACTGAAGCGCCACTGAGGCACAAAGACAGTTATGTCACGGTGGCCCCGGTCCCAGAAGTACTGCACAGCAATGGCAATGCCCCGGCTGGAGAAGTAGTGTTGGAGGCCATGCCTGCAGTGGGAAGGGGTCAGTGCTCTAGGGCCCCAGAGACGGGGCCTCTCAGCATGTGTCCCCAAGGTCCATAAAACTGTTCATATCATCCCCCTCCCTGGGATCCTCAGGCCCACCAGGTACTCACACCATGGCCACATTGCTGCCATCAATGACAATGTGACGGAGGTCTGGCTGGCCAGGCACATTGGCAAGGCACAGGGTGAAAGGGTCCTGCAGGGCCTCCTGGAAACGCTGCGTGCCAGTCACCAAGTTGCCCCCGCGGGTACCTCGTTTCCATGGAGACCCACGGCCTCGAGCCACGACCTGCTGCTTGTCTCCCCTGTCTCCTCGGTCTCCGCAGTGCCACGGGGGTTCGGGTGCAGGTGGAGGACTAGGCACCCTTGGAGGTGAGGCCTTCCCATTGTGTAACCGCTGGAGGAGGGAGGCTCCCCGGGGCTGAGCTGCCCTCGGACAGGAACCCTGGGCACCAGGAGGCTCACTCTGGACACAGAACCGTCCTCTGTCCTGAGGCACCCCCTCCTTCCCCAGGCCCTTTCCTGTCAGGGGCCCTACCTGCCCTGCCTCTCCTCCTCCTGGCTGTGATCTGAAGGCCCCTTCTTTCTCCCAGGCCTCTTGCCCAGACAGCTCCTTCCACCCCAAATCCATCTCCCTGGGACCACCCTGCTTCCCTCCCTCCTTCTCCATAACATGTCTCTCTCCCCTTGACTCTTGCCACCTTGTAGGTCCAGTGTGCAGGGACTCCCTGCCTTCACTCGAGAGAGCTCTGACTCCCTGGTACTGAGCACCCAGTGGGCCCGGGCTCCCCCCCACCCAGGGGGGTATTGCATGGGGCCCCTGCCCTCTGGATGCCTCCTGCACCAGACTCAACAGTTCCTCCTGGACAGCCAGGGGCAGCTGTAGCAGGGCCTCTCTGTGGGCATCCCCATAGGGCTGCAGCAGGGCGGAGAAGTCTCGCAGCACTCCAGCACACTGAGAGACTCTGGGGGATCGCCCTGGCTGAAAGTCCCAGCTCAGCCGCTCCACCAGCTCCTCCACTCTGCTCTGAGCCATGACGAAGGCCTCAGTCAGGCCACTGACCATTAGCGAGCCGGGCAGCCCAGGCACCAGGTGGGCTGATGTGCTCCAGACCAGACAATCAAGGAAGAAGCCCTGGGCTCCCAGGAAGATGCAGTGCAGTTTGGGTGGGTAGTGGATTTCATTCTGCAACTCTGGGCTGCAGAGACCCTTCAGGAACTCCTGGGGGAGGAATAGGGATAGGGGATAGGAAAAAAGGAGACTTCTGGAATTCTACATGGCCCAGTAGCCTCTTCAGGCCCATTGCACACCACCACCACCCCATCCCTGAGTTCCAGGATGCCTGGGCAGAGCAATGGAGCCCCACAGAGCCTGACAAAGGTGAGGGTTAAAAAGGGATCAAGAATCTCACTTCTTTTCCCTTTTCAGCTGATAGGGCTACGGCTAATATTTCCACTTAGAACCTGACTCAACTTAAGATATTATTATAATAAACTGATCACAAGGCCATCTCTCTAAATATGTATTTGTGCTAAATATGTATGCGTGCGTATGTGTGTTGTAGATTTCCATCACAAGGACTGTCATTTGCTAACTTTTGCTGGACTCATGCTTTATCTCATTCACAATAAGTCCAATGAAGTGGATACTGCTATTATTCACATTTCATAGATAAGGAAAGGGAGACTCGGTCATGAGGCCACCCCATGAGGTAAGTGGAGCTGTACTAGAACCTCTGACGGCAGGAAGCAATGGGGCCTGGCTTCCCATCCCCCAGTGAATTCCTTGGTGGGGCCTGCTTGCCCAACCGGATTATCTCTAGTCTTCAAAAACAGCACAACTGATTTGAGTGGAATCACCTGTCTCTAAGTCCTGGCAGAACCTGGCTCAACATAGCTCAAATGAAACCAAAACTCCAGATAAATACAGATTTGCAAAGTCCCTCAAAAGATGACAGTCACTGAGGTTGCCAGTAAGACAACCAAGGAGTGAGTGGAGCTCCTCCCCAGCGGCCCCTCCTCTGCTCTGCCTCCCTGTAGGGGAGGGAGACATTGTTCCCCAAAGGGTCAGAGAGGGGTGTTCACCTTGGCTCTGCTGGCGTTCTCCTTGGGGCCCTCCAGCTGCAGCCAGATGTGAGGGTTTTCAGGACAGTCCTTTGGGAGGACACTCATCCCCACGCTGAAGATGCGCTCCACGTAGGGTTGCTGCTCCCGCACCTTGTCCTCAGCCTCCGCAGACACGGCAAAGCGGTCAGGGGACGGGGAGCCAGCCCCCCAGGTGGGCATGGCTGCTTGGCCACCCAGCCCTGGAAGGAGGGAAGGCAGCTCAGAGCCTCCTTGTCCCCTTAACCCGAATCTTGGGTCTCCCACCCTACACCAGCAATCAACAGGTCGCGATACCGATCTAGTAAACAACCTGGGTCCATCCTGGGGGTAGGAAGAGAATGTCAGATTATCCGGAACCAGGTCTTCTCTCCGGAGAGGAAGTCATGGGCAAACAAGGCTGCCTACTGGGGATGGGCATCTGGCCTTTGGAAAAGGCTGACCACAGCCCTAAGCAGGAAGAGTGGGGGCTCCAGCTCGGTCTGGAGGCCAGAAGTGGATAGATGACAAAAGAGTCCCTCTCCTCAGGATCTCTGCAGTCTCCGCGTCCAAGACGGCCTCTTAAAGATGAATCCGCACCAGGGCTTGAACTGGGATGTCCTCTGGAGTCCCTGGTCTGCCATTTCCAAGGTTCTAGCCCCTCCCACCTCTCCCCCTCCCTCCGCCGTCCGCCGCTCTTCTAGGTAGCGCCAAGGCCCCACCCGGGGCCCAGGGGTCAAGCCGGGTCCCGCCCACAGCCGCCAGCTGCCACCGCCCCCGGCGCCCTTCCCCCGGCCGCGCTCAGCACAGGGGCCTCCGGCTCGGCTCCCGCCGCCGGGGCACGGGGCAGAGCGCGCCTACCCGCCTTGGCCGCCTGCTTCGGCCTCAGTACAGCGGGCGCCTCTCGGTGCCTGCAGGCCCCAGCTTCACCCGCGCCCCAGGCCCAGCGGAGAAGGGCTGGGAGCCCGAAACTGGGCGGGCCTTCCCGAAGTCCTCACCCAACGGGGACCTGTCTTCGCCACATCTCGAACAGTTTTTTGAGTCACTTCCTGGCCCGGGGCGGAGTCAGCCAGGCCCCACCCGGCGCAGGGCGGGCTCCGGGCCCTAGCGCGCGCCTGTCGCCGGGACCCTCCCTGACCCGCCCCCGGCCCGCCTCCCGGCCCCGCCCACTCGCCCGGGGTTCGCTTGTCCTCAGCTTCCAAGCCTGCCTGATGGGTTCACCTCCCGGTAAATCTGGGTTCTCGCTCGTTCTGCGCAGTTGTTTCTCGGGAGAGAGGAACCACTCATTGAGAGCTGGAGGTGAAGAGGATCCCTTCGGATGAAGATGTGGAAGATCAAGGAGAGAAAGAGACTGGCCCACGGTCACAAGATACTGACACGGTTGGCCCAAGCACTTTCCACCACGATCGTAGGGGAAAGACAAGGTCACCCGCTTTCATCTAATGGCGGAAAGGGGCCACTGAGAGGGCTGTTGACTAGTGAGGGATTTTAAGAGGAGAGGAATGAGGAAAAGGAGGGGCTGTACGAGCTGTCTGGCGCATAGATGCACGCTCACCAGCATACACCTACAGGCTGTCACACATTCTCACAGGCACATGTACACTTTTACACACCAAGTTCTCTATGGTCCCAGATCCAGCCTTCAGTGCGCTCCAGAGGGGCTGCCCTGGGTTCTGGCTGTAGCCCTTCTGTCTCTCTGCTTCATCCCTCCTCTGCCTCCTAGCGCCCAACTGCTGTCACTTCGTGCCCTGCCAAGGAGGAGGGAACTGCAGTGACAGCAGGAGAGAGAGGCAGGACAGAGTCGTGGGGTACAGAGAGGTATGGAGAGGGAGATGCTGAGACCAGGTTAACAGTGAGACCCAGAGAGGGGGCTGAGGAGCAGGGTGAGGGGTGGTGAGAGCCCCGGGGGAAGCAGGAACTGAAAGGAGCGGCAAGAGGGGACAAGACAGGAAGACTTGTGGGTCACAGAACAACTCAGCCATGCCAGGAGCAAAGCGACACTGGCGACCAAGACTCCCACCCAGCCCCAGGCTGCCCTTGGCCCTGATACTTCTGACCCTAGGGAATGGGTGGGCCCAAGAGGGGGCAGAGCCTGTCCTCCTGGAGGGGGAATGCCTGGTGGTCTGTGAGCCTGGCCGAGCTGCTGCAGGGGGGCCTGGGGGAGCAGCCCTGGGAGAGGCCCCCCCAGGAAGAGTGGCATTTGCTGCAGTCCGAAGCCACCACCACGAGCCAGCAGGGGAGATCAGCAATGGCACCAGTGGGGCCATCTACTTTGACCAGGTAATCCCCCTACCCTTATCCAGGGGACGTGTAATGACCTGAAATCAACTACTCAAACCCACTTGGCTCTTAAGGAAAATCCCCCTACTGTGACTAGGTGCTCCTCCGCTCCTCTGCCCTGCTGCCTGTCTCCCTTCCCTACACCCCTACCCACACTCCTCCTTGCCCGTTCTCATCATTTCTTGTGAATCTGTGCATTCCTCCTATTCTTATCTACCTGCCACCCCTTCTTTTCCTTACTCACTGCCCTGTCCCATAAGCCAGTAGTTTCCCTCAATCCCCACTCAGCAGAGTCTGCTTCCCACAGGTCCTGGTGAATGAGGGTGGTGGCTTTGACCGGGCCTCGGGCTCTTTTGTGGCCCCTGTTCGTGGTGTCTATAGCTTCCGGTTCCATGTGGTGAAGGTGTACAACCGCCAGACTGTCCAGGTGACCTGTGTACTGGGGCCCTGTCCTGGCTCAGGAGGGGAGGGAAGGGAGAGGGAATAAGTAGAGTCCTGCTGACTCCTAGGCAGTCCCTCCCTTGACGGTGTCCTTGGGTGGGGGTGGGGGATGGGGGTGGTGCGGCTGGCAGGAGGAAGAGAGGAAAGGACCTGTCTAGCAGAGAGTGTGGAGGAGGTACTGAGTCCAACCCTGGCCATCCCTCAGCCCCCCACTGAGCGTGTGCTGAGCCCCAAGTTCCCAGGATTGCAGAGTATCCCTTGGGAGCTGGAGAAAAGAAGAAGCCCTCGGGCAAGTGGGGGATCTTGGGATAAAGGGAGAAGTGCTAACTGGGCTCATCTCACCAGGTGAGCCTGATGCTGAACACGTGGCCCGTCATCTCAGCCTTTGCCAACGACCCTGATGTGACCCGAGAGGCAGCCACCAGCTCTGTGTTACTGCCCCTGGACCCTGGGGACCGAGTGTCCCTGCGCCTGCGTCGGGGGAACCTACTAGGGGGCTGGAAATACTCAAGCTTCTCAGGCTTCCTCATTTTCCCACTCTAAGGGTTCAGGCCTTTCAAGGACTGGAATCTAACCCCTGCCTTCTGCCCTCTGCCCTCTGCCCTCTCCTGCCCCAGAAGCAGCATCTTTGGAGTAGGAGAGAGGCTCCCTGTGGCTGCCTGTATTCCACCTTCTTGCATGGAACCCTGTGCCTAACACCCAAGGTGAAGAGTAGAGCTGTGGTGTCTGGGGACTTGGCCCCCCTCACCTACCCTCCCACCCCCATCCTCCCACTGCGTCTCTTTGTGCCTGCAAGGTACGGCAGGTGGCAAGGCCTGTGCTACTTTGCAGACTCTGTTCTTCCTGTTCCTCCACCCCCAGCCTTCTGCTCAGTGCTATTTGGGGACAGGTGGCACAGGTGAGCCTGACAGGCCCCCCCACAGGGACCCAGATGGACCAGCCTCAGTGTACCCTGCAGGCTCCTTCCTATGAGGTGTGCCAGCATCACGGATCTTGGCCAGCAGAGTCAGAAGCCGAGCCAGCACAGTGTGGGCTAGGGCAGGAGGCTTAGCGACCAGCAGAAGTGTGGGGAGGACCACACGACAGCCCAGAGCCTGTGGCTGGTGGGGCAGGAAGGCCATGTGCCCAGACTGAACATGGTACACACTTTTCATGTACACTGGGGCAGCCAGCAGACAGTGAATCTGGGCATCCATCTGTGCAAGGTCCCCGATGGACTCTGGCCCTCACCTCCCCACCTAAGACGTGGGGCGTGTGTGTTTGCTGCAGCCAAGAGTGGGTGTGCTGAGCTTCCTTGGACAGCTGGAGGTAGGGGTAGACAGTCACACGTGGGCAAGTACTGATCTCCAAGCATGACACACGTCAATGACGCGGCCACCTCCTAGAACCTTTGTGATCTGAACTTCAACGACTCCACATTCTGACCGCCACCCTCCCAGCTCTCTCAGCTACCTTCACTGTACCTGTCCCAAACTAGTCCTGGTCTCTCTTCTTTCTCCTGATTTGTGCTGTTTTGTCCTCCTTCTTAAACTTCCTATTGTCTTAGATGCTATGATTCATCCCTTCAGCCACTCTCCTGCCAGTGTTATAAAATCTCTATGTCTTGCCGCACGCTGTCCCATTCTCCCAGCATGGATAAACCTATCAGTAAAGCAACTAGAGAATGACAGTCAATGAGAAACCACAGGAGCCCTGAAGAGACAAGATGCCATTTACAATTTGGATCAGGGGTTACAGGATACAAGCAGGTATGTTTAGAGAAGAGAAATGTAAAATTGTATATTTGAGTCAAATACAAAAGGAAATTAGTAATGCTTAAATTACATAGGAAGCACCAACGCGGATGTGTGGCTTTCAAAAGAAGTAACTTTTTCAAAATTTGTCACTAAAGTAGCTAGAAACAATATTAGAAAAAATCTGATATGCATTCTGAGCACCTGGATCTTTGCCTCAAATACGATTCACTTTTAAAAGAACTTGGGGCGGGGCGCCTGGCTTGCTCAGTTGGTAGAACGTGTGACCCTTGATCTAGGGGTTGCAGTTTAGAGCCCCACATTGGGTGTAGAGATTACTTAAAAATAAAAGTCATAAATAAATAAATACATAAATAAATACATAAATAAATAAAATAAAAAGAACAGAACTCCATCTCTTAAATAACTCTATGCCTGGAGCATGTTGTTAATGACAAAAAGCAAGGATACTTTTTAAACTGTATCGGGTAGAGCCGAAAAGGCAAAGGAATCCATTTTCAAATTCTCCCACCCCTTGACATGCTGTGACCATTTGATCATCGAAAGGAAAATAATACAGTTAATTGGAACAAGGTGAATTTTTAAAATCCATGACTCTGTAGTGATATTTAAAAGGGAAAAAGTCACTATAAAATGTGCAAAAAGATAGTTAATTTATCAAGTGAAGAAGAACAAATATAATCATATATATTTAGCTAATTCTGATAAGTAGAAGAGTGTAAATATAGTGAGTATTTTATCTCTTCGTAAAGTATACTTATTTTTCTTTATCTGTATAAGTAGGGAAGGGTGGACACATAGAGCTGTGAGTGATTCCAGAAAAAGTTGGAACTGTATCAAGAATGGAGGAGACTGATTGGCACCATCTGGTCATATATCACAACCAGGAAGAAGGGGAGCCCAACAGTGTGTTGCAAGATGATGAATTAGTCAAACGTCCAAAAGATAACTGCTCACAGCTCAAATTTGATCCTTCATTTCTTGGGAAAGGGAGCCTCTATGTCACCAAACTAATTTCAATGAGATTGCAGTAACAGCAAACCCAAAATAATAACGGGTTAACCAACAAAGAAGATTATTTCTGTCTCACATAGAAGAATTCACAAATAAAGAGTAGGGCTGGATCACAGTTTTATGATGATTGCAGCCAAGTTTCCCTTCGTGCTGTTCTACCATCGTTAGCATGCCATATCATGGCCCAAGATGGCTCCTTGCACGCCAGCCATTACATTAGCCTTACAGCCCCCCAGGAAGCAGAAAGGAAGAAAGAGCACACCACCTTCCTTTATAGAAGCCTTCTGAAAGTTGCCCCCGACATGCTGATTACATCTCATTGGCTAGAATTTAGGCACACCTGGCCACACCAGGCCAAGGAGAGAGGCTAGGAAATCGAGTCTTTATTCCAGACAGCCATGCTGAGCTAAACATCATGAGTTTTATAATGTGGAAAAAGAGGAGACTGGATATTGAGGAAAAACAACTAGATGTTTTTGAACGTGCAAATGGGGTACATAAATTCGTAAATAATGGCAGGGAAGTTACTGTGTTGGTTTTCTATTGCTATATAACAACTTCAGCAGCTTGACACAACACCTATTTATTATCTCACAGTTTTCTGTAGGTCAGAGTCCAGCAGAGCATGACTGGCTTCTCTACTTGGGGTTTCATAAGGGTGAAAGCAAGGGCTGCCTTCCCTGCTGAAGGGGAAGAATCCACTTTCAAGAGCATTTAGAATTCAGTTCCTTATGGCTGTAGGACTGAGATCCCTGGCACCCACCATCTTTAGGCCAGCAATGTCAGGCCAAGTCCTTCTCACACTTTGAATCTCTCTGACCTATCCTTCTGAGAGTCAGAAGTCTCTGACTTCAGTGGAGAAATTTCTCTGATTTTAAGTGCTCATGTGATTCGATTGGGCCTGCCCAGATAATCCAGGCTAATCTTCCTCTTTTGACCTTAATTACATGAGACATCTGGGTGGCTCAGTCAGTTAAGCATCCGACTCTTGATTTCAGTTCAGGTCAAGATCGCATGGTCATGATCTCATGGTCCTGGGTTGGAGCCCTGTGCATCAAGCCCTGTGCCTCAGGCTCTGCGCTGAGTGCAGATTCTCTCTCTCTCTCTCTCTCTCTCTCTCTCTCTCTCTCTCTCTTTCTCTGCCCCTTCCCCACTCACTTGCTCACTCTCTCTCTAAAATTAAAAAAAAAAATTTTTTTAATTTAGAAAAAGATTCTCTCTCTGCCCCTCTCCCTCATTTGCTCACTCTCTCTCTCTCAAAGTATAAATAAATAAATAACCTTAATTACATATGAAAATGTCCCTTTTGCTATGAAACATAATTCAGAGGCTCCAGGGATCAGGGCATGGGCATTTTTGGAACATCTGCAGGGAACATGGACATTTTTGAAATATCCTAGTCATTAAGTTTTAAGATGGCATCATCTAGGGGCGCCTGGGTGGCTCAGTCAGTAAAGTGTCTGACTTCAGCCCGGATCATGATCTCACGGTTTGTGGGTTCAAGCCCCACATCAGGCTCTGTGCTGACAGCTCAGAGACTGGAACCTGCATCAGCTTCTGTGACTCCCTCTCTCTCTGCCCCTCCCCTGCTCATGCTCTGTCTCTGTCTCTCAAAAATAAATAAATGTTGAAAAAAAAAAAAAAGATGGCATCATCTAAAGGAAAGGCATCCTGGGGCATCTGGGTGGTTCGATTGATTAAGCAGCCAACTTTTGGTTTCGGCTCAGGTCATGACTTGGAGATTTGTGAGTTCAAGCCCAGTGTTGGGCTCTGCACTGACATCACAGAGCCTGCTTGGGATTCTCTGTCTCCTGCCTCCCTCTCTCTCCGCCCCTCCTCTGCACTCTCTCTCTCTCTCTCTCTCTCTCTCTCTCTCAAAGATAAATAAACATCTAAATGTATTGGGGCGCCTGAGTGGCTCAGTCGGTTAAGCGCACGATTTCGGCTCAGGTCATAATCTCGTGGTTTGTGAGTCCGAGCCTATGTCAAGCTCTGTGCTGACAGCTCAGAGCCTGCAGCCTGCTTCACATTCTGTGTCTCCCTCTCTCTCTGCCCCTTCCCCACTCGCACTCTGTCTCTCTCTCAAAATAAGTAAATGTTAAAAAAAGATTTTTTTAATGTATTATAAAATAAAATAATTTAATTTAATTTAATTTAATTTAAAAATAAAATAAAGGCATCCAGTTACAACACACAAATCACATGGAAAAAGCATGGGTTTAAGAAATTCCCATGGTATACAAGGTAAACACTGGCTCAGATTTTAGTCACTTTATTTAATTTAAAAAAAATTTTTTTTAATGTTTATTTTTGAGAGAGAGAGACACAGACACAGAGTGAGAGTGGGGGAGGGTCAGAGAGAGAGAGGGAGACACAGAACCCAAAGTAGGCTCCAGGCTCCGAGCTGTCAGCACAGAGCCCCATGCAGGGCTCAAACTCATGAACCGTGAGATCATGACCTGAGCCAAAGTTGGACGGATGCTCAACCGACTGAGCCACCCAGGCGCCCCAAATTTTAGTCATTTCAGAAGATGCTCCAGTTCCCAGGTCCCAGCCAATCATTCATTGATTAATCATATAAAACTTCATCTGCCCTGAGATAATGTTCTTTGGGATTATCTAAATTCAGAAATTGGTCTGAACTGAGATAGTGTCCATCTCTTGGGTCTACAAACCCATTTTTATAAAATGTGTATACACATAGTATAGGTGTAATAAATTTCATGGTCCTTGTAAGATGTGTGTGGTTTACCAAAATCATGCTTTTAGAGAAATTAATATATTACTGGTGATCCTATCAAAATATGTAGGAGGTTTTAAGTTTACAGGAAATGTTTAAATAATTTGATTTGTAAAATAGGTAGGTTTTGATTTATTGGGTATACAAACTGTGTTTAAATGTTTAAACACTTTTGCTTAAGTAGGTTTATGAGGTAAATAGATTAAACGATAAATAAACACCAATGGTGGTTAGTGTTCCTCTCCAGGAACAATAAGCTCCTCAGACTTTAAGAATCCTAAGACTAGAATGCAGCTGTCCTGGGGCGTCTGGGTGGCTCAGTCAGCTGAGCATCCGACTCCGGCTCAGGTCATGATCTCGCGGTCGTGAGTTCCAGCCCCGCATCAGGCTCTGTGCTGACAGCTCAGAGCCTGGAGCCTGCTTCGGATTCTGTGTCTCCCTCTCTGTCTGCCCTTCTCCGCTCATGCTCTGTCTCTCTCAGTGTCAAAAAGAAACATTAAAAAGAAAAAAAAAAAAAAGAATGCAGCTGTCCTGCCTCCCTGTGCCCACACCCTGGCAGCCAATCTCAGCAGAGAAAGTCCCGCTACTGAAGGATGCACTGTGGATCTAAACCCATTGGTGTCCAGGGGCACCTGGGCGGCTCAGTCAGTTAAGTATCCAACTTTGACTCAGGTCATGATCTCACAACTCGTGGGTTTGAGCCCCTCGTCGGGTTCTGTGCTGACAGCTCAGAGCTTGGACTCTGCTTTGGATTCTGCGTCTCCCTCTCTCTCTGCCCCTCCTGCGCTCACACTCTGTCTCTCTCTCTCTCAGAAATAAATAAACATTTAAAAAAAATTTTTTTAAACCCATGGTGTCCAGTCACCCCTGTCCCCAATCCTCTGTGCAAATCTTTTGTGGTTTCCTCTGCCAGCTTTTTTCTTCATCCTCCCCAGCATCCAACTGAAGCTTTCTGTTCTTTCCTTAAACCTTTTACACCGCCAGGTCTGCCCCTGTCATCAGCAGCAAACGGGCTCACCCTCAACCTGACTGAAGAAGCAGAAACACCAGGTAGGAACCCTTCCCACCACCACATCTGGAAACTCACCATTCTCATCTCTGCTCCCTCCTGTCTGGTTCAGTAGAAGACGTGTCCCTCTTCTTGTCAAGGCAGCTACCTGCATCCACCAGTCACGGATCTCACTTCCTCCAAACATCCCCTTTCCTTAGTCTCACTTCTCTCTTAAGGTTCAACCTCTCCCTCTCTACTCCTTCCCTTTAGTAGTTAAATAGACTCAAGACTCTTGACTCTGAAAAAGAAAATGATAGGTGTGGAAATAGTTGTAGATACAGAGCTCTATATGTCCCCGGCTCTATGTTCACATCATCTCTCCTCCTCTTTAGAGTCAAATATTTATGTTCGCCAGTTTCTCACCTCCTAAGTCAACTGTGGCCTCCACTGCTCCACCTAAACTGCTCTCAGCCTGGTCACTCCCAACTTTGGTGTCACTAAAGTCAATGCACATTTCCAGTCCTTCTGTTACTCAATTCCTCCCTAACATTTGACCCTGTTGGCCACATCTTCCTACCAGAACTCTCTGTGCCAATTTCCCTGACTGTGCACCTTCTGGGCTTGCCCTCCACTCTCTGCCCAGGCTTCAGTTTCTTTTTCGGGCTCCTCTACCCCTTTGTTCAAGTCTTAAATGTTTTTCCTCAAGGTTCTGCCCTAGGATTCCTTCTGGCCCGATACATTCTCAAAAGCTTGAATTTCCATCCATGTGCTGACAGCTTCCACACTTGTTATCTCTATCCCTGATGCATACATTGGACGCCCCACCTTATAGTCAACTATACTCTTTCCTCCCTACATCTGTTCTCTCTCTGTGTGTCTCTGTCCTCCATGAATGAAACCTCCCTGTTTCCCCAACCCAACACTAGCCGTTGTCCTCAATTCTTCCCTCTCCCTTATACCCCATAGCCAATCACAACCAGGAGCCCTGTCTATTGTGTTCCACCCCCCTGACTCAAACTACTAGTCTCCTAGATAGAGTTCTCCAGAAGCTTTCTAACTGACCCCTTGGCCTCCAGTTTTGCCTCCCTCAGTCCATTCTCCACACTGGGGCTGCCATACTGATCTATATAAGTGAACTTCCTTGCATAGCCCTTTAAGGGATCGGTGAGTCTCAGAATGAGACATTACCTAGTGTGGTTTTGAGATCCTTGGCAATCCAGCCACTACAAGTTCCTGCTTCATGTTGACCATCTACAAGAATGTGGAAGTGTAAAAGTAGCACCAGGTACTAGATGAGGGAAAGTGACACCATCCTGTGTTGGGGGACCCAGAGCTGGTGTATTAAGTCAAGAATATGCAGTTTATGGGGCATCTGGGTGGCTCAGTCGGTTAAGCATCCGATTTAGGTTCA